TATTATTTTGACTCTGTACTTCTCCACACTAAATATTAAATCAGGGTGTATTTTGCATCCATATCAAACTACATGTTTTTGAATTGTTTGCCTTTGAGGGACCAAATTAATTGAACATTTTGCATGAACCTTAAGTCATCATAATTAATATTGCAGTGGTTAATCCTTTGCAGTCAATTTCCCAAAAATTCAATATAAAAAGGAATATTACTGATACATTAATTATCCCAAGTGAACATAAACACCTACAAATTAAACCTGAAAGTCACCCCTTTAACCTCATACCCAGTGTTTCATTTCAAATCCATTGTGCTGGACTACAGAGACAAAGCCATGCAAATATGTCACTGTCCAAATATTTTAACCTGGACTGTATGTGCATGTGTGACTACGTGTGTGTGAGTGCTGTGTGAGGGATTAGCCTCAGTGTGTGTCCACCAGTGATTAGCCTGGTCAGTGGGCCTGTTGTGCATTCACTCAGGCCATTAGCATATTAATGCAGCCTCGCTCTTGATCTCCCTCCCACCCTCTGTCTCCCGCTCTCTCTCTCCCTCACTCTTTCTCTTTCTCTATACGTATTTCCCAGACTGAGTTGTCGCTTCCTGCAGCTTCAATCTATAAATATCACCAATTTACGCCACTCGTGCTGTGAAGCAGTGGACTATTTCGCCACACAAATTTCAAGGAGCCTGGTATTCTTTTCCCTCCAAAAATGTCCTCTTGTACTCATCTATGTCCTCTCTCTCTCTCTGTCAGATCTTTGCCTTCTTTTTCTATCTTGCTCACCATCTCACTCCTTCTCTCACAACCTCATTCAAATCCTTTACTTTCTCTCATTTTCCCTTTTCTTTCTCCAAGTCTGGCCTCCTGAACTTTGCCAAACACAGGAAAAAACACGCAGAGGCAAATTCACAGGGGCAAACACAGAGAGGGTAAGTACACACACAGACACACACACACCTCCCTCCCCACATTCACTCTCCCTTTCTGTCACTCTCACCCCTTCCACAGCAAATTTAGCAAGACCCTCTCTAGACGCCGGTGCTGAAGTGCGAACCGGACACATTCAACTGTACTTAACATGGTGAGAGCTATTCAGTCCTTTCTGCTCCACAGACAGACTCTAACCCCCTTTCCAAAATAGGACACCCCTGATCTGCTGTACCAGGCTTGAATGAGTGTTAGGATTTGCACCTGAGCAGAAGAAATTTAAAAAAAAGTACAAAATAAATGGCATTGGCAGTTGGATTATTTGTTCCTTTCCTTTCTGGATACTTTAGCATCAAGTCAATTTCAAAACTTGTTGAAACTCACATTTTCACATCAGTGTGAAAGATAAAGTTTACAATAACTTTTAGGTTTTGGGAAAAATTTGATTTGTCATGAAATATGTGAAGGTTTCTGTTTTAGAATTGGACACAGAGCAATTTGTGTTGTATGAATTGCCAAATAAATTAATTGACTTCCTCTTCACTTCCCCTTTGGCTGCTGTCCACCTGCTGTCTCTGTTTGGTGCCATTACTTTTCAAACCAATGATGATGTTAATTATTCACCAGCCTGTCTTGTAATCCATGACTGGCCTGTAAAAGGAACACTTCCCTAAGCTTTTCACTGTCCACCTGAGTTGAGCTGAAGAGCAGGAATTTTTTTTTTACCTGTTCTGTTGCAAGTTAAAGCAGACAGCTTGTACAGGCCCAATCTGAAACTATTCTGGTTTTGTTTGGAATAAAGTTTAGCTGACCTCCAAAAATGTTGAGAGAGGTTCTTACAGGCTTTACATTTACATAAACACACACTCTCCCTTATTCAATATCTCCCTCTCTTTTTCCCTCTCTCTGTTTGTCTTTCAGTGTCTCTCGCTCATCCACCCACAAAGCCACTGAGTTTTATACCCTCCATGGTGGTCGATCCCTCGCTGATTTTCAGAGGTCAGGGGCGTGATGTCCATCCACAACTCCTGGTTTCACAAAGGCAGACGCAAGAATTGCGTTTGGACAATCAGCTCCGGACCTCCATCCTTCTCGTAGCCATCAGTATGTTCACACTCACATGCAGATGGATGAGTTGGATAGCCTGGTTCAATGGCTGTCAACTTAAGGTTACGGAAGTCATTGGTGCAATTCCATCCAAATATCACTTCCTCCATTTGCTGAAGCTCAGTTTCATAATAGCATTTGACCCCCAGCTTGCCTCAGGTCAGCGCCTATGGATGGACAAGAAGGAAAGGATGGTCAGACTAGAACAGAGGAATGAGCGGGAAGGCAAAGAGAAAGGAAGAGGAGAAAAGAGAGAGGGAGAAAGCTCTAACTCATGCTTGTCCTCTATGTGGGTGACACCATGATGAACGAAGGGGTCACCACCCGGGGGCAGGCCCGTCCAAAAGAAGCCGGCAATGTGACCCTGTACAAAAGAAGAAGTGGGTCCCCCAACGGTCACACGGATCAAAGAAGACAAAAGCCTGAGATGATAACTCAGCGCAGCAGTAGAGCACATTATTATGAGACGCATGAGGAGCAGAGGTAGTAAATTTAACTGAGTTGGAGGCAGGAGGGTGGAGGGGGGGGGAGAAAAAAACCTGAAAATGAAAAAGTAAAGCTCTGAC